TCACGATTCCCGCCTTTTGCTTTTGTTGAATTGGTTTCTCCATATAATAAAAAGAACATTACACGTTGGCTCGAAGATATGGATTTTATGTTCTCGTGGCAAGAACAATAACGATATTGTTCTTGCCACTCGAACATAAAATTCATATCTTCGAGCCACCGTGTAATATCCTCTATATCTCCTGTCATATTGTTTTCGGCTCAATACCCAAAAGGTTACCACAAAAGTTCCTGCTGAGGACCTTTTGAGGCTAAAAACCCTAAGAGGTAGCAAACCCGCTTTTTAACCCCTAAAAGGTATAACGAGCACCCCCATCTTTTTATATCAGAGTCCCCTCCGGATCTCTACGCCCTCGTTCAAATCTCTTATTATAAAAATGTATTAGACCATCGTACCATCCACATATAACCTAATCTAACTTGCTAGCTTTGTAATGAGGCGGTCTAATGTTATACGCCTATAAGTCTTGTTTATCTTCTTACATGTTTTCCTTTTTCTTTCACTTCACTGAGGCAAAAATGTGTACGTGTGGAAAAAGTAACCAAGCTTGCAAACTTACAAAAACTAATACCTTTCTCGTTGAATCTTTCAGGATAAAATTCATCAGGATTTTGCCAATGTTGAGACATATGCTGCAATGAATCGATGGGCAATAAAATATCTGCCCCCTTAGGAATAAGATATCCCCCAACAATTTCATCAGAGATCGGAATACGACCAGTAAGGTGGGCAGGGGGGTGGAGTCGCAGAGATTCCTTGATGACATTTTCAAGGTACTTGAGCTCTTCGACTGTATCCCATGTCAACTCATCACCTTCACAGAGCACTGTGTTTATTTCAGCTCTCACTTTTTCCTGGATGAGGGGATTCTTTGCCAGTTCGTAGAGAGTCCAGGCAAGAGCCACACTAGTGGTCTCGTGGCCAGCCACCATGAAAGTAAACACCTAAAAGAAATAAGTCATGATTTAACCACATGCCTGCTACCTCCTGGACAACCATCATGGGCATCACATCAACAAAATGAGTAGTGATGCCTAGCAGAGGTCAAAAGTGTGTAAAGAAGAAAGTAAAGAAAGAAGGAAACTTAGAACTCTTTTTTCATTTCTAATTTGTGTCTTGGTTGGAATTAAGTCTCAATTCCAACCAACACACAAAGAAACAAAAAAGAGTTATAAGTTTCTTTCTTTCTTTACTTTCTTCTTTGTACACTTTTGACCTCTGATAAGCATCACTACTCATTTTGTTGATGTAATGCCCATAACGGTTGCATGTCCAGGAAGCAGCAGGCATATTCAGCAGGCATATTCTAAGACTTCTTAGAATTTAGGTGCTGTCAACTGAAAATGCACACAAGATCACCAGAAATTGAATGTGAAAACTTTTTTTTAAAGTGTATATGACACAAATTTTTTTTTAAAGTATTTTCCTTCCTTGATATATGTAATAAACGAATAATGTTTTGAAAATGCAAAAAAAAAAAAAAAAAATGATTTGGATGACTTTTTTGTGGCCAAAATACAGCCAATTTCCCTGTAAAAGTGTCCCAAGAAACTGGGGAGGAGAATTGTGTTTGTGACGTCACAGTGTTTGATAACATTGCTGCTGCGGGAAGCCACCTTGTCATTTCTCTTGCACACGGCTTCAAATGTGCTAGTGATTTGCTAGCTAGTAACGCTAATTTTTGACCCAGGCCACTCTGTTTAATTTGGTGATGTTGAGCGACTTGTTTGTCTGTAAAAACACAATGATGTCACAAACGTAAATCATGTGACATTTTGGCCTGTGTGATCTCTGGGACAATTTCAACATGAAAGTAGCGTGTATTTTGAACGAAAAAAAGGGTTTCAAAATAGTCTCACGATCTAAAAACTTTACAACCGTTTTTCTAACATTATTAACAACCAGAATCAGCGGGAAAAAAATTATGTCATATACACTTTAAAGGTTTTTAGCAAAAGCATTTCTTGGGCAACAAGCCTGGAACACCCCTGGAGGTGGGCCAGCTGGCCAGGACTACATGTACAATGCATAAAAAAGCTGACTTTTCCCTGAGCAGTATACTGCTGGTAAATTTCAGACCAACCTTACAAAAAGCTTGAGGTCACCTGAGGTGGACTAGTAAGGAAATAGAACTAATCTTTCAATATAGATTGTATATACATTAATTTAGATGTAATTACAGTGGAGCCCCATTAATCTGGCTGTATTAATGGGTGGCAGTATTAGAGAGCTTCTTTAAATATAAAGAAAATAACTCACTGAGCTTTAATGTTTGGGCCAGAATAAAGCAGCCATAATAACAAGGTGGCCATATTAATGAGGTGGCTGCAAACTAGGCTGAGCTCCACTGTATGTCAAATAACTCGAGATCCCACTTTGATTGGTTCTCACTTATTATCTATTGGAGGACAGAGGTATTGATGATATCATTAACAAGTTTCCTTACTGTATAAAACAAGTAGATTCCATGTTGTCATGTGTCCATTCACAGAAGGCGTGAAAATGTGGTAAGAATATTAGTGACATACCCATGAACCTTAAATGGTTTGTGTGCCACTTTTTTGTTCTTTTCATATTTTGACATCGTCTTTGTTCTAATATAAATTATATTACAACAACAGATGCACACCAGCATATAATCTATTTGTTAAATAGTCACTTAACATTATGGAAACTTTGTAGATGATACATGCACATGTAAGCTCTGCAAGTAAGGGTGACATTAGCCAGGATTCTGAGTCATTTATGTAAACTTACAAAATACATTACCTGAGCTCGTAATTCCTCATCTTCCATTTTTGTGCCTGTTTCCTCATCATACATGTCCATCAGGAAATCAAGAAGATCTTTCTTTTCTTTAACAATCCCAGTTTTCCTCTCTTTACGACGCTCTTGGATCACCTTAGGAAGAAATAATAATTAATAATGATAAAAATAACATTATAATTATGAATGTACATCTCCATGTACATTCTGGTGATTTAAACTCTTGGAAGCATGTGTGCTTGAGTAAGCAAAATTCAATCAGATCAAAATAACTTTAAGAGCAAATTCAAATGGGGAAAAAAGAACAGCATGATTAACTGAGGCAACATATGTGCATGTCATATCAGTCATAGTAAACATGTGCTAAATGTCAAATATCTAAAAAAATATCAGAGTTTTCCATTATCACAAAGTCACTTTGCAAAACAATAATTTTGATCATCAGTGAGCTATCTGCTAGCTGTTATACTTGTGTCTAATCAGTTGGAACGTCTTACAATTAAATACTTGAATACTATTTTTGTGTTTACTTAGTTTGTGATCATTTGATTTTTTCTTTTGTTTTTCTTCTCTTTTATTTCAAAGTTTGTTTACACAATACTATTAGTAGAGTTTTGTTATCTGCTGATTTGTTTTTGTTTTCCTAGTATTCAGTAATGTAATTTACTCTTGGTAGCTTTCTTGGAATTTGTAAACAAGCTTAATATTTGGTTTATAAAAGATGTAACATTCAATAGTTCCAGTTCTGTACATGCAGACAACTGATGAAGGTCTTCAGGTTTTATAACTTTTATTTTCCAGCTCCAGAAGTTGTGTAACCATTGGGCCTTTTATACCTCATCTTTACATACATGTAATTATATAATTATAAATATATTGTATACAATTGAATGTTAATTACTTCCCACGGTAAACCTTCTGCCAGAACTCAAATTTCAAGTGTATGCATCATGATGAAAACGGGTTGTTTTACTTACTTCAAGCACTGTGTTGTCTGCTATTTCTCTAGCTTCTTTGATTCTTCTTGTCTCAGCAATTGGCAGTAACTCAAAAAAAGGAATCAAGCCCTTGCATACCATATATCTGAAACTCATTCCGCCAATAACAGCATTAACTGCTTCAGAGACTTTACTCTCTCCCGCCAGCACAGTGTTAAAGTTGCAACCAAATGCACATTGACCAATAACATCTAGGGTTAGGTGCGATAAGTCATCGTGAACTGCAACAGGATCTTCAAGCTTGCTTGACCACAACTGTGGAGTAAGAGAAACCATAAAAATCAAAATTGCTTACAATGATTGCACATGTAAGGCTCAAATGGCTAAAGGTCAAATTCATCCATAGCTGGCCGCAACAATTTGTCATGCTGGAAAAGAGTATAATATCCGACTGCTGTTACATTGCACTTTTTCCATCCTCTAATAAATATTTCTATTATAAAAACAAATTAACTGGGAGCTACATCTAAAACCAAAACCCAGATTAGAGGGTTGAAGATGATGCCAACCTGTTCCAAGTGGAAATGTATTATCCCAAAGAAATAGCTGAAATGTACATTATATGCATGTATACAATGAAGTCCCACAAATATCAGAACAAAATTCATTAACGTAGGCATTAATATGGTTGAGAACTATCATATTTAATTAACAAAGAATTGAATTTTTCTCCATGATATTCAACATTTTTTTATGATTTGCATGCGTACAATGAAGACAAACAAAATCTCATAAAAAGGGATAGGACGGTTTTGGGTTAACCAAGACTGTACATCTAAACAAAAAGCACCAAAGTATTGCTTGGTGTTAGCTATCTTGATCTAGTAATGTAAATTAAGTCATTTCACTAATACAAGTGACAGCACAAACTATCCACAGCTTTGCAGGTGTATTAATTGTTTCATCAGTTATGCCACCACTTTCTTACTGTAATTTTGTTACTACTACAGTAATTACTTAATTCACTGACTGTATAGGCTAAACCAGCTGCTTTCTGGGAAGCCCACACTTCTTTCTTCTTGGGAATTCGAAGGACCTTAGGGGACTGAACCTGAGCATGCGACGGAAATCCAGCCTGAACACTGTGTACCTAGATAAGTTCTTTAGTCTTATTCAGCAGTCTCAGTTAATTTGAAACAGGACTATTATTCATAAAATGCTTTTTCAAAATTAACTTACATGTATAAATTACCTTAACAAGATTTTCAACATTCTCTTGAAAGATTCTTGAAAATCCTTTTAAGTTCTTTGTAGTAAATGCAGGACCAACCATCCTTTTCTGACGAGCATGTGCTTTACCATTCGATGAAAACAAACCATTGCCAATACTTGGAATCTGTCGTTTAACAAAGTCTGGTCTGTGAAATTTGTGTCCATTGACTGCCACATATCTGATTAACTCAGGGTCTGTCAGACATACTGTGTAACCACCTGCAAAAATAACAAGCAATAATTATTGCATGACTCAATCTTAAATTGTTTCCCTTGCCCAAAATTATATTAATTATGTCAATACTGTCAAATTCAAGCTCATGCAAAACCTGGCAAAATGACAGGCAGTGATCAGCCATGATCAAGTTAATATGTAGTCACTTTGTGTCGACAATCATTAAATGGATATGGCATACTCAGACCTCCCCCCTAATGGAGCCTCAACTTCCACTGTGTCCCAAGTATTGTTTATATAGCATTGTATATTGAATTTCACAGGGGTTGACTCAATCTTGATTCATTTCTAGCTTCCTCATAGTTTAGTGGTAACTTGTTCAAATCTCCTTAACTCCTCATTCCTAGTGTTCTCCAGAAGTGTCAGTGTCCAGCGTTTTCACCAGTTACTCGCATTTCAAGTGCCGGCTACTTTTGTTAAACAAAATCAAAGAAAATGATTCAAGAATCTGCTTCTGCAAGACAATTTCAAGTGTAGCTTGAATTTGTGCTTAAAATGTCAAGTTAAAAAAGGCGAACATGTTATTATTTCTGAAGGAAACGATAAACAGTTATAGCTATCTAGTGTTATAGACAGATATGTAGCATTGTTAAAAGTGCATTGGCCGAAAGCTGTCGATGTAGATTTCAACTTTTGCCGAGATTCTGTTTCGATTCTGTCTGCTGAAACTGATCAAAAATGACACATCTTTTCTTGTCTCAGTTCCCCCCAAAATGCATCAGATCGCATCTCCAGCCACATAATTTTTGACAATTTTCCAGGGGAGGGGCATGCCCCCATACCCCCCTAGAAGCTTGTGTCACTTTGCAAAGGCTGGCTACTTTAAATTTCTAGCTGACTACTTTAAAATTTGTGGAGTACACTGCATTCCCCATACACATTCCCCCTAAGCGGGGATTCAACTTGTATTTAGAACATAGTCCAGTACAGTGTGCAGTGGCAGATCCTGAGACGGGATCCACACGAACAGACAATGTAATAGGTGTGGTGTATCCGTGAGACTGTCGCAGATAACATTACTGGAATAATCGTATAGATCCATAACAAAATTCTCGATCATGATTGGTTCTCTGTGGGCCTATTTGTCACGTACAGTACAAGCGTGCCATCACTTGGATGCCCAATTACAGGTACCCAATTACAAGTTTATGTAATTGGATACCTATGCCATTTGCACATCAATTACTTACAGTTTAACGGCTTCCTTATTAATTTTTCCTACAGATTTTAAAAATTATGGAAAGCGCTTCTGACTTTTCTTTTTGCCCAACAGAAGCACTCAAAAAACTATGCTTAATTTCAAAATTTGTTTTAGATATAGTTAATTAGTAACTGGACCTTGTGTCGTACAATTTAGGGAGAAGTTTTGTTCATAAGGGCTCTCTTGATCCAAGCCTACCCATTCCCCCAGGCATTGGACAGGCATTTGAGTAAAGCAGGCTTTTACAAAGTAAGACTCAATTGTCAAATGCCCCACCCCCGGGCAGCCCTTTGTGAGCAAATGCCCCATGGTGGGGACCAACAACTGGTCAAATGCCCGTCCAATGTCCGAGGAGGGGCGGGGGTGGGCACTTAACAGAGCCATAATTTCTCCTCGCGCTGTGCGCTCGATTGTGAAGTTACTCGCCCGATTACTCCCTGAATTGTACTCTACTTGGTCCAATTACCCAGGAATTACCATATGTAAGCTGAAAGCTAGAGACCCAGGTAATTTGATCACAATTAAATAATCACGAAATTGAAACATTCTTCTGACGATGAAACTCTTCTTCTCACCTATTCCAGTCCTCAATCCTGGATGATAAACAAACATCGGTGAATACTGCTCACTCCACGAGCGTAACAATTCAAGAACATCCCCACGAAGAAAAGTGAAGAGATGGCCGACCAGAGGCCATTTGCCAGGTGGGCTGGGAATCTTCTGCAGCGGAGACAACTTTTCTTCTATGAATTTATACACCAACCACAGAATGACACATGCCAAAAACGACAGGAAAATGAACTTTGCATTGAAAATCTTGGAAAGAACGTCCATAATGAAAATGCTGAATCGTGATGCCGAAGGATTGCACGTCAGGGCACTGGGTTAGATAGGCCAGGATAATGTACTTACTAGGGTAGGGTAGGGCTAGACCAAATTTGCCGCTTGACGGCAGGTTTCTTTCACAGGTCACAGGTCACAATCAAAACACTCAGTAAATTTCGCGATGTAGCAATTTCTGAGATTCCCGAGAGGTTTATCGATGTTTCCATGCAACAAACCCTAACTAAAAATGTTTTATTCTATAATTTTAATGAAAAAATTTCTAGGGGTGGTATATGTACGAAATGGGTTGAAATGTAGCTTTCAGAGATGTAGCGTTAATATATTTTATCGTAATAAGATAATTCATTATGATAGTAAATTGAACTGTTTTATTTCTACATTTTTTTTGAAATCTTTACAACGAGTGTGTACTAAACAGAAACAAGAAGGTTCCCTATACCTACTCTGAAAACAATTTCACGCATTGTAATCGGCCTTTTCACGCATCACAAAAAATTCGAAAACAGCTTCACGTTAACAGAAAAAAATCACTTTTCACGTAAAAATGCAAAGGCTAAATCATGTGTTACATAAAAATACAAATTCTATCCACGTTTCGCAAAACATACAGAACCCTCCATTTTGATGCATCGAAATGCYGTGTGCATGTGTGACACATCGTGACAGACTAGATTCTAGGTCCTCCTGGTTCACTGTCGCTGTGGTTAGTTCTCAGTCGCGTGGAATGGGCAGGTTTTACATCTAGTTTGGTGTAGTTTACGAGCTTTAATGACGATAAAATCTCCAAAAAAAGTGAATTATTCCCGCAAAAGTCATTGGTTCACAGATCACGCGTAAGTAAATGCATAATTCACGGATCAGTGTAAGCCTCTTTCGTTTTCATATTATATTGAAAGGCTACAAACAATTTATATTTTCAACAGAAATAAGTCTTAGCTTTCTTTGGATCAATTTTTTTTTATTTCAGTGCTACAACTGATTTCCCCTATGCGTTTTTTCGCACTTGGGACGCACTTGTATGCATCTGTTTTATGACGTTTTAGCGTATTTTTTGGTGACCTGTGACCTGTGACCTGTGACCTGTGAAAGAAACCTGCCGGCCGCTTGACAGGAAATCATAACGTGATGTGTGCTTTGCTATTTTCCAAACACGAGAAGTGTGATTTACCAATTAGATTTCCGTGATAAGTGAACGTTCTTTGAACTAGAAGGATATCATTCTTTTAAAGTAAATAGTAAATAGAGTAAAAAAAGACCAATAAATCGTGGCAGACACGACACCATTTTCTAGTCTTCTTCGCCCTTTTCTTGACCTCGGATGCCTTTGGGTCTTTATGGATCTTCCTGATATTATAGGTCCAAACAATTGTGACGCAAAAGGAATAAGTCAATTGAAAATGGTTATTTTTGTCCATTTCGTCGACCGATCATTTTTGGCAGTGCATCAACCCGTATCCGAATCCGGTTATGGCATGAAAGATCTGAAAGAATGTCGACCTAAACGGCTGAAACAATAAGAGACGCTAGAGTTTGCTGTCATTTTATGGCGCTCGAGAAGACAGCCGTGTAAGTAGTGAGAGACTACATAAGTTTGTGTACTACTTAATGAAGGTCGTTGTATCATTCACAGGTCTACATGTACATAAAATCGTTGCCGTATAGAAAGGGATTTGCAGGGTTAAAGCTTTGACACAAATATTGCCTGTATATCACAACATGGCAAAGGTGGCGTATACGACTTCCGGCTTAATTCGCAAACAAGATCTCTGCCAACCGTAGCCTGTGAACAGGCTCCCGATTGTGTCATAGGGGAAAGAAAAAAAGCAGGTGGGAGGAGATAGCCGAGAGGGGTCTGGAAAGGGAAAAATCCCACCCCGGTAGGCTCGCTTCGCTCGCCCTATTTTATTTTTTTTCGTCAGGAGTCTGTTCACAGAAGGTGCCAAATCTCTCAGATTATCCAGGAGCCTCCTGGATACAGACTGAATCTCCTAGTCTTCCGTACGGGTCACCTCTTTATTTTGGCCAATAATTGTCATTTTCGGGGGTCAATGTTTGAAATATTTGCCGATGCACTTCTGTGGTTAAATCGGCAGAGTTCTGCTTTTAACGACGTTATTATATATTAGGGTCGAGAAAGTAAAATTGGCAATGTACTTACTTCTTTTTATGTGACACGTGATTGGTGAAAAAAATTCTCCGTGATGCGTGAATTAATTAAAAATTCAGCGTGATGTGTGATTGGTACCCCACCTTTGCTACCCTTGTCACCCTCTTTCAATATCGGTTGCAGCTATAAATTAAAACTAATTTCGCCGGATTTTATCCAATGCTAGGACCAACTACGGGAAATTTAATATTCGTTTTAACGGTGTTTAACTCTGGAATTTTACTAAACAGAAGAAAATCTTAAATCCAAGCGTCGCACTTGCTTCAAAAATCTCGTCAAAAGAATATTGTTTTCCAGCTCAGGCTAAGTATTCTTATTTTTCTACCGATTTTAGGCTGAAAATGTTCCTCTGAATCATCTTAGATACAGGAATACAAAGTGGACAGTATGCCGACACAATGTCGATTGTCCGTTTCAAACTCTCAGCCTCGGATTTATTATTAAAATATTCTTAACATTTCGCAAATTTCGGCCTTGATATTCTTACAAAACGTTTTAAATGATAAGAATAATATTAATTGAAACATCCAAAATGATCATTTCCTATTTCGAACTGTGTAAATGACCGGCAGCCAGTTTCTATTTTGCTATGGTTCGTGCCGTGACAAGAATCAAAGTTCTTTTAAAAATTCAAATTCTAATTTACATCGTTGAGAAATATTCCAAAGCCCGACGGTTCTGTTCCTGTTTTTGGTCATGTGTGGAGTTTTCTGCGTGAGAGAAACCAATTGAAGTTGATGCAGTAAAGCACGGTCCAATCTGGCCTGCGTGGCAGGCGTTCAAAGGGGAAGGAAGGGGGTGGGGGGGTTTGGGTAGGAATGCGATCGCACCGCGCCCTTCTCGTTTTCCCCTCTCCCTCCCCCGTTGAATGCCTCCTACGCAGGTTAAGTCCAATGTTCTGTTACAATCGTGTGTTTAGGTGTTTTAATTTGCGAGCCGGCCGAGCCTGAGACACTTTTAAACCTTTCAAATTGCGGGACCGAGACTGCAAAGTGTTGTAAACGCAAGCGCGAGACTTTCTATAAACCATGGGACTGGCTTCTCCTTGTTTTGTTGTCATTTGCAGTTTTGAGAATGTCGAAATCACTGGTTACAAATGAGTCATGGCAAGTTGTTTTTGCAGGATATAAAATGCTAAATTAGTCTCCTTTTTCTTTCTGTTGAAGGAATAATAAGTGGCTTTTCCATCCTCGACATGCGGAGAGGTAATACTCTTTAGCCACACAACAACAACAACAACAACCACAATCCTTCATTTACACACGATTTCTTTTAAAGCAACAGGTTTACCTGGATACAGCGTTCCAAAGGAGAGCGTCCCACTAACGTACTTATCGAGTTTTTCATATTGTACGAACAAAATCGCCGAGTTACGATCTTGATACCTCTAAGGTGATACTTTGTGCTCTAGTATGTGACCATGTTCCAAAGCAGTGCCCGAGTCCTTACACTAACTACGTTACAGAAAAACTTAATTAGGGTCAGTTTGTAAATGTGAAAAACTGATTCACATCTTGCGATTTGCAGCACTACATCTGATGGTGTATCCCTATGGAGCTTAAATATCAGTCTCCCTGCTCTGCGATGTAAGACTTATAAAGATTTTATGTGATCCATGTCATTACAGCTTCCCCAGGTAAGAATGCCGTACGTCACGGATGGGAGAATAATTTTGCAGTACAGATCGGGGACCACAGTTTTACCGAGAAATAAACTCTTTTTCAACACATTCAGTGTCAAGGCAAAGTTTTTTCCTCATTCTGTAATATGTCTACTCCAAGTGAGTTTATTATCTATGTTAACTCCTAATAACCTGGTATGGTACACCCAGTTCATTGTCTCTCCGCCGATGGTTATTATAGATTGGCGCCCAATAAAGAAACCTCTATATATGGAATAACATAGCATCCGCATTTCGTGGAGCGAGGTGTCAGGGAGTTAGACGTGCACTAATTATTTAACTCCTCGAGTGCTCCGTTAAGCGAAAGGCACGCCTCATCTACAGTTTAGCCGGTACAGTATATACTTTGAGTGCCAGGAGAGAGCTGAACCACCAACAAGGAAGTCATAAATGTTTTGACACCCGTTATGTGATATTCGGTCAACATAACCCGAAACTCGTCCTTTTTGGACAGACAGCCCGTTTTGATGCATGTATTTGTGTACGTATCTGGTATAGAGCTATGGTATAGAGCTATCATGGTATATATATCTGGTATGACTAATGAATTCTTTAATTAACAGGACCAGCAGGTCTTATAAGCAGTTGAAGTCCTTCTGGCTGGACAGTAAGCAATGGAACTGCTTTAACTGTACACCCAGGAACTTCGCTGAAAGAGAAGGTCTTCAACAAAGTTGCCAACATCACTTTCATTTCCATCGTAGCAAACTTGTTACCGATACACATGCGCGGGCCAGCCCCAAATGGAAAGTATGAGTAGGGCTGTACACTTGATCGGCCATCTACAAAAATTAATGATGAGAAAGTAAAATTAGTTTTTTAAGTTGTCTAGACATTGTTAACGTTTAAGATGTTAAAGGCGTCTGGTCTAAAAACGAGACGCATTTAAGTACACAGCCTAACAAAAAAAAAAAAAAAATTCATAAACAGGGTAGGAAATATCGCAGATTTTGGTCATAAATAGGGTAAGGGTTTTGGGAAGCGGGCCGCACACCCCCACCCAATTTTTCTGGGAGTATCCCCCCGGGGTTCAGACGCTCTTAAAAGAAGACGTTAAAGTAGACTGATGTTAAAAGCGTCTTCCTTATTTTCCGTTTTTATACTAAACGTTAAAGTCGTCTCGAGACAGCTTTAACGTCCGAGACGACATTAACGTCCCCAGCATAAAAACGGCCATTGTAATGAGGGAAGCCTCACAGTTTCTACCTAGGCCCCTTGCCACTTGCTCGAATGCATTTTTTTAAACATGAATACATTTTTTTTTCTTAAATGTGTGACAAAAAAAATGAGTAGCAAATGCATCAGCATTGCCTTTTGATAACAACAATTAGCAAGCAAACTAACAAATTATAACTAAATACCTTTTTCATTGAATCTTTCAGGCTCAAATTCATCTGGATTTGACCAATGTTGAGAAACATGCTGCAATGAATCAATGGGCAATATAATAATTGCCCCCTTAGGGATAAGATATCCCCCAACAACTTCATCAGAGATCGGAATACGACCAGTAAGGTGGGCAGGGGGGTGGAGTCGTAGAGATTCCTTGATGACATTTTCAAGGTACTTGAGCTCTTCGACTGTATCCCATGTCAACTCATCACCTTCACAGAGCACTGTGTTTATTTCAGCTCTCACTTTTTCCTGGATGAGGGGATTCTTTGCCAGTTCGTAGAGAGTCCAGGCAAGAGCCACACTAGTGGTCTCGTGGCCAGCCAACATGAAAGTAAACACCTAAAAGATATCAGTCATGATAATTAACCATATGCCTGCTGCTTCCTGGACAACCATATTACTCAAACAGATGCAAGTGACCTCACCACGAATTGGGAAATTCCAGTTATGTGGTACATGCCCTCAAAACACATCATTTCCTCAATATTTAATTAACCCTGTTTTCAATTTGACTCACAGAAAAATCACTTTTACTACTCAAAAGAGGCCATGATAACATAGCCATACCAGGTTATCAATGACTCGATATTGCTGGATACCAGGACACTGCACTTAGACACAGCTTCTGAGTGACTAAATTTTAAAATTTGAATACAATAACCAGAGAAAAATCACCATATGATTATAATATAGGGGATAACAGATGGGTGCACATAGATATGGAATACCCTTCGAGTGTTCAACAAGTTCAACAAGTGTTCAAGTTGAACACTTGAAGAGATATTCCATATCTACAAGCAACCATGTATGATTTTGTTTACTATGTATTAGACATACTGATAAGACGTTTTTGATGATTTTCTAAAGATTTCTGAACAACTTTCCAAAGATTTCCAAAGATTCTCCAAAAATTGTCCAAAGGCCACACAAATGTTTCCGAAAAATTTCCAAACTTTTCCAAAGATTAGCGAAGATTTCCAAAGATAACTGAAGATTTCCGAAGATTTTCGAGGAAGATCCAATCTGAAGATATTTCGATCATATATCAACAAATTTAAGCACAGTTTAAGGGTAAAACATGATATCAGTGATGAAGTAATCAATATCTTCACTAGTGAGGATATGGAAAATATGCCACCCGAATCCCGGATGTGGTTTTGTATGAATTTTGCAGGTGGTGTATTTTCCAGTTAAACACTCGTGTCGATGTAATAAAATGATATACATCATCAGATGTGGATTGAGGTCTAGAGGTCCAGGCACATAACACTAGCTCGGTAACTGCCTTAACAGTGCTAATTCTTTTCAGCCAGAAGCACAAACCCATCCATTATTATACATTAAATAATAGAGAGCTTAAGCACAGACGTTTTTGAGCCATGGATGTCAACCAGAAGTCGAAACTTCTCCCCTTTGATGCCTATTACTCCGATCCCTTTTTGTTGAAAATGTCAAGTTGTAAATGCTAAAATGAGAGCTTTGTAACTCATTGGTCGGGCATGAAAATGTGCTTAAAAAGCAAGAGCATAAACTTCCGGTTGTGGTCCGTGGCTCAAAATGTCTTTGCTTTAAAGCTGTCTAATCAGTATTGGCAAACTGTTACAATTTAGCTAAGGACAAGCAGTGTACTGCTCAGTCAGGGTACCCTGCAATGGTTTAGCAAGGAAATACATGTACATGTAGTACCACAGGCTCCTTCAATTTTATAGAAACTGGGATAGATAAGCCAAGCGAAGGATTATACTGGCCTGCAGAGTTCAGACTTCACTGAGCTTGAGACAAGAGGGCTTTTAACTAACAGAATACATTACCTGGGCTCTTAATTCCTCATCTTCCATTTTTGTGCCTGTTTCCTCATCACACATGTCCATCAGGAGATCAAGAAGATCTTTCTTTTCTTTAACAATCCCAGTTTTCCTCTCTTTACGACGCTCTTGGATTACCTTTGAAAGAAATTATATGACTTTCAACATCCATGTACATGGATATGCTCTGGACCAACATGATTTTTATTACAGTTTGACATGTATTAATGGATGCATTTTCACACTGGACAAACAGTTAATGATGTAAGAGTTATATTGTTTCCCCCTGTAAGCCCTCTGATGATAATTTTATTGTAAGGCAATATTAATTTTATTTCTTAAAGAAATATAAGAATTTTTAATTGTGCTGTAATGAAAATATAGATTAGTATTACATAATTGTACGAATACAAGCGCAATTGATGATTTACACTACAAGTAATGGTTGAAAATTCTCTCAAAATGGCATGAGCCTTTATGCGAGTGCAATTTGAAAGAATTTTAAAATATCACAAGTGATGTAAATCCTTAATTGCTCAAGCTTTCATACAATTACTCATTTATTATATGACTGAGAAAACTGCGAATTCACGCACATTAATTTGCACTGCAGTGCAAATTGAGAATTAATGCTAAAGTGGCCTGCTCTCAGCCAATCACAATGAAGCAATTTTTTCAGTCATATAATAAAGTGTGTTGCTTACTTGTAGCACTGTGTTGTCTGCTATTTCTCTAGCTTCTTTGATTCTTCTTGTCTCACTAATTGGCAGCAACTCAAAAAATGGAATCACTGACTTTAACATTACATATCTGACACTCATTCCGCCAGTGACAACACTGACTGCTTCAGAGACTTTACTCTCTCCTGCCAGCACAGTGTTAAAGTTGTAACCAAATGCAGCTTGACCAATGACGTCTAGGGTTAGGTGTGTCAAGTCATCATGAACTGGAACAGGATCTTGAACCTTGCTTGACCACAGCTGCAATGTAAGAGCAAATTAACGATTAACCAACGATTAACTCCTTATGACAGTGAGTGTGTTCTCAATATACTCTTTCTTGTTGTTTAAATTATTACCCGTAATTAGCTTATTATATACAATGATCATAAGTTTTATCTACATGTGTAGTTGTCTCAGTCTAACTAGCACTTTAATTTGTTTGCTTTAGCTGTTCTATTATATTGTTGTTCAAAAACAGCGAAATGTTGATTTCATGAGGACGTGTAAGCTCAAAGATGCTGATTTCACTTCAAAAACAGCAAAATGTTGACTTCACAAGAACGCGTAAGTTCAAAGATGACTTGATTTCACTCCAAACGCAGCGAAATGTGGAAATGAGAATGCGTAGGCTCAAAGATGTTGATTTCACTTCTCAAAAACACTAACGCGTGACCACAGGGATTCTTATTTCACTTAAGGTTACCGTATACCTTCAGGGCTGTCTCACGTCCAAGCGATGTAGCGCGTCCGGTTTAAGCTGTAGATACCTAAACCCCTATATCAAATTAAAGCTTATAGAGCTGGCTATCAAACCATAC